TGTATTTATTCATTGTTAACAAATGGAACCATAAAGTGATTGGGAAGTGTTACCGTAAATTGTGATATCGCTTTAAAGAATGCCATATAACTATGCTAGTTCATTTCTGTCCTTCACAGGAGGATATTACACAGAAAACTTGCTGAATCAAACCGGCTTCAGAGTCATGGTGCTCAACACCAACCTCTATTACGACCAGAACAAACTGACAGAAAACATCCAAGACCCTGCAGACCAGTTCAGGTGGGCTCATCGAGTGCTTCAGGACGCTGCCAAAAATCATGAGAAGGTCACTATATACATACATACAGTATATATAGAGTGAGGGAGCTCAACCTCCAGTATTGTGTGATTCTTTGTTGTGCTTTACCCAGGTTTACATCATCGGCCACGTCCCTCCAGGGGTTTTTGAGAAGAAGCGAGATAAGGCCTGGTTCAGAAAGGAGTTTAATAAGCTGTACATCGACCTCATACAGAAGCACAGCGCTGTTATCCTGGGCCAGTTCTTCGGCCATCACCACACTGACAGCTTCCGCATGTTCTACAGCTCCAACGGTACCGCAATTATGCTATATTTTCTGCAGCTTTTCAGTAGAGCCAGACCGATATATCGGCAGGCCGATATTATCGGCCGATATTAGGCATTTTCCAATATCGGTATCAGCAGTTATAATGGCCGATAAATGAATATTTAAAAAATAAAATAATAACGGACGACACACGCTTGAACCGTGTCATGAGTGTTGGAGTTGTATAGTTTGTCCACCAGAGGGCACTCTACACCGTTCCTGTTGGTCACGACACATAGATTGCTTGAATAGCAATTAAAAGAACATCCCCATCAGTTCTCTCAACTCAAATAAGCATGACAAAATTTGTGACTATCGTGTCCAGTTTTGCTGCTGTTAAATAAGCCGAGAATGAACGTTACGTTGTTACAGTGTAGTTGACTGACTGTCCTTTTAACTTTTGACAATGTGACTGAAGTATTTCTTTAATAGCACGTGACAGTTATAGCAATGACTCGTATCATCTCTCCTTGGCCTGTTATATTGAAAAAGTATGTTTTACCATTTGCAGTATGACGTTATCCATTGCTAAATTATGGCTCATCATCATATAGCCACTATCATCAGTCTGTTCTGTTGTGACAATAAAAGATTTAAAAAGTTTCTTTTTAAAATGCATTATCATATTATTTTAGTTAAAACTCATAAACAACTACAAAAAACTAAGGTTAGGGAAATCTGTTAATGTTTCGTTGCGCATTTCTGAAATAAAAAAAATAAATTAAAAATATCGGCCGATATATCGGATTTTAAAACCAACAAATATTTATTTGTATCGTATCAGCCTAAAAAAATCCTTTATCGGTCGGGCTCTACTTCTTAGACAAATTGGCCATGAGCAATGCATTTTTCTCCCCTTTACTATCCATGCATCATTTTAGTTTTTCTGGCCAGAGTTGCATTTGGCTTGTACACTAGAGACTAAAGATATTATGGACTATGTTGTGTTATGGACCATGCAATCGAAGAACCATTTTTGGTCCCCAAAATAGCTTTCAGTGATCTCTTCTTAAAATAACCTTTTTTTATTCTTAGAGTAAATAACATTTTAGTAATCGAAAGAACCTGTTGTTGAATGGAAAGTTTGCATGGGTGTTAAATGTTCTTATTGAAACCATTGAAGTCGATAAAGTACCTTTTAAGGAGCGAGTATATAAGTATTATGCCATGGCTACTTTCAATGGAGTCCTGAGATAAACTGCATAAGGGTGGGCGATGTGATGGAAATATTTAACCCTGTCATTTATATGCAACACTTAATCATGTTAGTGATGCACATTGCCAAATAGTAATAGACTTGTCATTTCACCATTTTTTTATAAACCGAACAAAACCTCAAAAGTCTCATAGTTCTCGATAATATCACCACATAACACATTAATAACCAAAAATAAACAGCTAACCTCAACTGTTTGATAGATACATTGTCATAAAATAGGTATTTTATGTAGGTATTTTCAGAATCACTGAAGGAGAAAAGCGTAATTTTAAAACAAACACCGATCCCCATAATGGTGACTTTCAATTTATGTTTTTTAGGTTGTTGTTGTAAGTTTTACTCATTTTAAATGGTTAACTTTTAAGGAATTAATTTGATTAATTATTACTCAATTCTAATTTGTTACATTTAATTAATACATTTGCTTGTAATCTGTTACAACATTTTTTTGGTAACACTTTAGAATACGGTTCCTTCGTTAATGAATAACTACACAAGAACTAATGAGTAACACAATATTAACAATCTAGTAACTATTATTAACTAACAAGAAACTCTGATTAACGAACTAGTACGTAATAGTGCACAGACGAAAGTGGTAGTTCACTATAAAGTAATCAATAACTACTATTTTTTAATACTTCCCAGAGAACTACTGAAAATGTTTATTAACAATCTAGTAACTACTATTAACTAAAAGAAACTCGTATTAACGAATTAGTAAGTAATAGCTCACAGATGAAAGTGTTACTAGATACTTCTGTGGGAATTACTAATTATTTGGATTCGTATTATAAAGTGAAGATCATTGGAACTAACTAGTGTCAAGTGTTACTAAAGACATTTTCTAAAAGCATACTAAAGTCCACCAAAATTCTCAAACGTTTGCACAAATCATGACTAGATCATGTAGTAACACTTGAGTCATTACTAGTTAGTTCCAAGTTAGTTCTTTGATTAGATAAAGCATATTCATTTTTACAGTGTAGTATATTAAAAGTTGTATATTTAGCACATCCTACTTTATCAACGTATACTCATGTAAGCAATATGTATAGCAAATATAAACTTCTTGAAAATTTACAACCCCTGTAAATTTGACTTTAGGCTGCTTTTCGATATTTTTACACAGGATCTCCAATAAGTGCGATGTTCCTGACACCAGGCGTTACGCCCTGGATAACGACACTACCTGGTGTGAAAGATGGCGGAAATAACCCTGGGATTCGCATCTTTGAGTATGACACTAGAACACTGGAGATCAAGGTAAGATGATGAACAAGGGGAAAAATCTGTATTTATATGACAAACCTACGCTATCTCACGACCAATTCGTACGAATTCGAACAAGTGATTCAAAAGTGGCTAATTCGTACTAATTCATACGACCTCACTCGTACGAATTTGTACGATTTGTCTAAACCCACGTGACGGTTATGTTTAGGGGTGGGGTCAGGGGTAGGTCATTCGTACGAATTCATACGAATTGGCTAATTCGTAAAGTATGTACGATTTAGCAAAATCGTGCTACCCTTACGAAAAAGAAGTTTATTCAAGTGTGCCATTAGTATACTTCTTTTAAACTAAAAATAAGAAAGTATACTTTTAGTTTATTTTTCCTGTACTTCTCAGAAGTATACTATATATACTTCTCAGAAATATACTTCAAATTACACTTAAGTGTACTTGACTTATACTGAGAGAAAAGCAAGTATATTTGTCCTGTTCTTGTACTCAATCTTTTGATCCAGAAATACTTAAAAGTATAATTAAGTATTCAAAGTATACTTGTATAAGTATTACAGTAAAAAAGTAAACTACTAGTATACCCATAAATTCACTTGCAGTACACATGAGATACATAATTATGAACTAGTACTTACTGTTACACTTATAGTAGCCTACACTTAAACATATACTTTTATGTACTAAAAGTGGGCCAATTTAGTCCCAAGCGGTAATAAAATAGTACACTTACAAGTTTACTACTAGTACATAGTGACATTAGTATACTTACTACATAATGTATACTTAAAAATATACTTGAACATTACTTAAGTATACTACATAAAATGAACTTGAAATATACTTCTTTTTCGTATTGTTACGAATTAGCCACCTCGTAAAATTCGTACGAATTCCCATTTATTCAGACACACAACCTTCAATTTCTCACATTATCTCAGTTTATTCGCTATAGTTTAGGAAATGGTGATATTATGAGCAGAACTGCAGTGGATATTTGACTGGTTTTATCCGTCCTTCTGTTCGACTCTCACACATGAATTATGTTGAATATCTGTCAGATGTTAAATTTAACTACACAATTAGATAATACCAGTTTAGCTCAACCAGTGACCAAGCAATGCTTCATGTTGTTCAGTTTGTGTGTAAAAAGAGCATTAGCATTTACAGTAAACACACTGAAGAAAACATGATCAGCTCAAAGTGTCTGAATAACTTTTGGTCCCAAATTAGTTTAAATGTGGTAGTCGAGTATATAATATGACAGTTTACTTTATTTTGCTCTCCTCGCTTAACTTTAAATTAGTGTCCACCTGAACACACTAGTGAAAAATATAAAAAATCATATCTGGTGTGTAAATCATTTTTGGTTTGTATGACAAACTTTCAACATATTTACACTTCTGTTCTTGGTGTTTTGCGTTCCTAAAGGATATAGTCACCTACTACCTGAACTTGACGCACGCAAACATGGCGCGAGCGCGCTGGGAGAAGGAGTACCGCCTGACGGAGGCGTTTCGGGTGCCGGACGCCTCTCCTGCCTCGATGCACCGCGTGATGGAGCGCATCGCCAGCGACTCGTGCTCTCTGCAGAAGTACTTCGAGTTTAACTCGGTGGGTTACGACCTGACGGAGTGCCACGCCGACTGCCGCGTCGATCACGTGTGCGCGGTGAGAGAGGTCGACTTCGAGGCTTACGAGCGCTGTGTGCTGAAGGAGGGAGGGTCATCCACGGCACCAGTGCTGTTCACTCTGCTTCTGTCTCTGATGATGAGTCTGCGGTGCTTCAACTGATCACAGAACAGCATCAGCGCCAGCTTAAGTCTCAATATCACCAGTATTTCAAGTAGCCAAAATGAATAACTTTAGTATTTGCAGTTGTCAACATTTGAAGTGGATCAATGAAAACTTTCATCAAAGCTAGACATGCATTTTGAATTTGAACAATAGCCATCTTAGGATGAACTTTTTTTTGATAAACTTCAAATGTTGACTACTTTATTTGGGGCCTGATTTACTAAACAGGGCAGATTAGCACGAGAGCATGAGCCCATAAAAGTGTAAATTTCTGAACGTGATTTACAGACAAATGAAAGATCACAGACACATCATTTCCATAATGACCAACACAATCCACCAAGACAGATCAAACTAGCGTCTGGTTGAAGATGTGCTTTTTTATGGGAGGTGAATAATGGTGCAAATACCAGTAAAGTGACGAGCGCCAACCTTAGTAAATCACCTTGCATGATTCATATAAATTCTGTCCTCCCATAAATGTTGTGTTTGAAAGGGAAACTCCAGCAACTGCATATGCAATAATATCAGCCGCAAAAATAACCCTGCCTTTTCAGCCAAGCGCTCATTTTTTTTTTACTGCATGTCTTCACTAAATCCTTAAATCCCTAAAAACGGTAGTTTTTAACACTAAAAGAGGGTTTGCGCTGGAGCTGTTAGTAGATCTGGCCCTATCTATTATGATTTGCTTATATTTATTGAACTGTCTAACCCTGAAATGAAAATGCTGGCATCAAATAGATTTGTGAAAAATGTCTAATTTTGGAACGAAAAAGAAATTTGGAAAGACATGAGAGTTTATCAAGTCAAGTATATTTATATAGCGCTTTTTACAATATAGATTGCATCAAAGCAGCTTCACAGTATCAATCAAAACATAATAACAATGTTCGTTTCTTAGTGGAAAAACATCCATGTTTGGTAGAGCTGATCAGGGGTATTACTGATTAGTTCATTAATTTGAAAATTCCCAACTGAGCAAGGCAAAGGCAACAGTGGCAAGGAACCGAAAAACTCCATCAAGTGACCTAGAGGTGTCCAAAAAACTCCATCAGGTGACCCAATGGTGTCCTAAAACTCCATCAAGTGACCCAATGGTGTCCTAAAAATCCATCAAGTGACCTAAAGGTGTCCTAAAACTCCATCAGGTGACCTAAAGGTGTCCAAAAAACTCCATCAGGTGACCCAATGGTGTCCAAAATCTCCATCAAGTGTCCAAAACTCCATCAAGTGACCTAGGTGTCCTAAAACTCCATCAGGTGACCTAAAGGTGTCCTAAAACTCCATCAAGTAACCTAAGGGTGTCCGAAACTCCATCAGGTGACTCAATGGTGTCCTAAAACTCCATCAGGTGACCCAATGGTGTCCTAAAACTCCATCAGGTGACCTAAAGGTGTCCAAAAACTGCATCAGGTGACCCGAGGGTGTCCTAAAACTCCATCAGGTGACCCAATGATGTCCTAAAACTCCATCAAGTGACCCAATGGTGTCTTAAAACTCCATCAGGTGACCCAATGGTGTCCTAAAACTCCATCAGATGACCCAATGCAGAAATAAAACCTTGGGAGAACCCAGGCTCAGTCGGGGGCCAGTTCTCCTCTGGCGTTTATGAACTAGAGGCCGGATTTACAGTAACTGTAAGGTAAAACTGTATATGAACGTCTCTAAACAGACTTTAAACGTGAACCTGTGATAACGTTGATGGCGCTCGCATGTGCATTAAGAATTGATTCTATAGTTATGTGCGTATTTTTGTAAATCCCTACAAATCCATGCCTGAACAAACTACTTGTCTTGTCTATAAATTTGATACAGAATTTAGTTTTATTTTATCTTTCTTATTGTATATTTTATAAATGACAGAATTTTAATTTTTGGGTGAACTATCCCTTTAAAGTTGGCATGAAACGGAAGTTGTAATAGTCTTTTCTTCTCTGTTGTGCTGCAGATATGATGTATTTCTTTAGGCCAAAATCCGGAAATTGCATTACATTTTAGCACTTTTGTTTCAATTGTCCTTTTTTTTTTTTTTTTGTGGTGGACACAAGTGCAAGATATTTCCACATTTTATTCTATGATATATAATACATCAGTAACACCTTGTGTTTTTTATAAAGCTTTTACTTTTTAAAAAGGCAAAAGCAGTAGTGATCAAGTGTCTAAATGGGACTAAAGCTTGTCGTGTTGTGTGGAGTTAATTTTTGAATTGTAAATATCATAAACTTTTATTGATCACAGAGCTTGTTTGTTGTAGTAATTATTAAAAAGCAAATTGTGTGACAGAACCAGTGTGTTGCGAACTTAGGGGTCGGCTTATACAAACACATATCACTGCATCAAACTATTGTGACGTATGTCAGAGTTAAACAACTTCTGGATCAAGAACAAATGTGGGCGGGGCTTGATTTTATCCACATGGAATTATTGATTGGATGGTTGTGGTTTGCTATTGGTGGATCTCATGATGTGAGTGACAGGTTGACCCGCCCTCGTCATCAGAAAAGAGATGTTGAATTGTCAATTGTGATTCTCTAAGTTGATGACTTTAGGATCGACTGTAGTTCACACTGTCTGTCAGTAACTTATATTGCAACACTTTTTCTTTTACTATTTTGTATGAGTTGTCTATGCCCACATATAACAGAAACTTTTTTTATTATGCATGGAAGACTGCCAAAAATGATAAATGTTTGATTTTTCTTCTTCGTAATGTGAACGATGAATGACAATTACTTTCCAAAATATAAATGTTTTTTTTTTTTTTTTTTTGGCATACAAATACATGGATGCAAACACAGCTAGTCACTCCAGCAACAAAAAAAAAATCACTTTCAATGTGAACAAGATACTGGTGTTAAAAACATAAAATGCTTCAATCTGCGTAATGTCAATAAAAGCCAAAGAGAACACTCAGTTTTAGCAAACACTTCATATTAACAATCTGTTGTACTAATCAATATTACAAAAAAATGTTGCGTCTCTATTTCATTGTCATAATTGATAATTATTTTATTGTGTGTATTTTTAACATTTGAGGATTTACATGTTTAAGCATAACCGGACAAGATGCTCAAGATGAAATAAATGACAAATACACTCATATTTCAGCTTATGTGTGGTTATCAGTGTGTGCTCCTTATAAAAGTAAACTGGTGTCTGACATACTGATAATCTTTATTATGCTCATAAAAGATAAGTATACAGTAAAAGTCTGATAAAGCTCACCGGACTTTGATGTCACATTTATTGTATGTGTGTTTGAATTGAGGAAACGTGACAAGAGGGATCACATGACAAACACTTGTTTGGTGGACACATACGGCTTCATGGCGTTCTCAAGGGCTTTTCCGAAGTCTTGGAGCCTGACTTCAGCGCAAGCCGGAGCCGACAGCTTCCCCGCGCGGATGAGGACGCACAGTTCATCCAGCATGTTTCGTAAGGCGTCTTCATCTATCACAGGAGGCCAAAGGTGTTAACGAGTATTTTAGGTTAAACTCTATATACTCTCACCTAAAGGATTATTAGGAACACCATACTAATAATGAGTTTGACCCCCTTTCGCCTTCAGAACTGCCTTAATTCCATCAGACGTTGATTCAACAAGGTGCTGAAAGCATTCTTTAGAAATGTTGGCCCATATTGATAGGATCGCGTCTTGCAGTTGATGGAGATTTGTGGGATGAACATCCAGGGCACGAAGCTCCCGTTCCACCACATCCCAAAGATGCTCTATTGGGTTGAGATCTGGTGACTGTGGCGGCCATTTTAGTACAGTCAACTCATTGTCATGTTCAAGAAACCAATTTGAAATGATCTGAGCTTTGTGACATGGTGCATTATCCTGCTGGAAGTAGCCATCAGAGGATGGGGACATGGTGGCCATAAAGGGATGGACATGGTCAGAAACAATGCTCAGGTAGGCTGTGGCATTTAAACGATGCCCAATTGGCACTAAGGGGCCTAAAGTGTGCCAAGAAAACATCCCGCACACCATTACACCACCACCACCAGCCTGCACAGTGGGAACAAGGCATGATGGGTCCATGTTCTCATTCTGTTTACACCAAATTCTGCCTCTACCATCTGAAATCGAGACTCATCAGACCAGGCAACATTTTTCCAGTCTTCAACTGTGCAATTTTGGTGAGCTCGTGCAAATTGTCGCCTCTTTTCCCTATTTGTAGTGGAGATGAGTGGTACCCGGTGGGGTCTTCTGCTGTTGTAGTCCATCCGCCTCAAGGTTGTGTGTGTTGTCTGCATACCTCGGTTGTAACGAGTGGTTATTTCAGTCAAAGTTGCTCTTCTATCAGCTTGAATCAGTCGGCCCATTCTCCTCTGACCTCTCGCATCAACAAGGCATTTTCGCCCACAGGACTGCCGCATACTGGATGTTTTTCCCTTTTCACAGCATTCTTTGTAAACCCTAGAAATGGTTGTGTGTGAAAATCCCAGTAACTGAGCAGATTGTGAAATACTCAGACACCAACAACCATGGCACGCTCAAAATCGCTTAAATCCCCTTTCTTTCCCATTCTGACATTCAGTTTGGAGTTCAGGAGATTGTCTTGACCAGGACCACACCCCTAAATGCATTGAAGCAACTGCCATGTGATTGGTTGATTAGATAATTGCATTAATGAGAAATTGAACAGGTGTTCCTAATAATCCTTTAGGTGAGTGTAGGTCCTCCTCACACAACAACTCAACTCAAGAAAGACTTTTTCTGGGGGAAACTCACCATGTTTGTTCTCTCTCTTCCATTGGGTCACCCAAAAACCTCTTATTTTCACATCTTTAAAGATCAGTGCACTCTAAAGAAAGAATAATGCTTATGTAGACCACATTCTATCTATATAATTCTATAAAGCCAGATATCGAGGTTCATAAAGTCACACTCACCACTGGGACAGTGACTGGTTGTTTGGCCATCCCACCGTAGGTCACCATAGTCCCTCCACTTCTGAAGAACACACAGAAGACTGAACACACACTGCTTATCAAGGGTCCCGTTTACATCCTATTAAGCCTTTTGACATTCAGCTCAGTGTTTCTGAACTCCTGAATCGCCTCTACTGTAGCCTTGAGTTTCTTCCGGGAACGAACACGCCACAATATTCCTCATTATAATAATTAATATGCAAAATAAAAGGGGCGGGGCCTGTTTGAGTTAGTTAGTAGTGTGTTAAACTGGCGTTTATGGAAAGGGGCGGGACATTTCCCAATCACAACACACTGCTCCAGCCGACCAAATGGACTCTATTGACCTCTTTAAAGCTCAGGCTAAAACTGATCTGTTTAAGAATAGCTTTTAGTGACGTGATTATTTGATAATATGTTTGATCTGTACATTTGTGTTTTTGCATAGCTTTACTGACCAGTCTTTAAGCAATAGCTATTATTGTGGTTATTTTCAGTAGTTTTT